AAATCTCATGCAAATTTTCTTTTCGGCTAACCCTTATCTGAAGCTTATAAAGGAAGCGGCCTCTGTGGACCACAGTAGCAGTCTTATCAGGTTGAGGCAGCACAAAGTACCATATTTAGCAATACCATCAATCTTACATCTTTTAATTTCTCGCTGTGAAATGCCCCCCTTTTATCTCTTAGCTTGAGTTCCTTCTTTCCATAGCCATCTCATCCGGCTGCTGTCATTTGACATATCTGGGACACTTATCTCTCAGCCTTTGTCCATTTATACATCAGCTTCTTGTGTTTGGTTGTCTACTAAACCACTGTCTTTTATTTCTTGACTTCTCTCTGTCTGTCCCTCTGTCTATCCTCTGTCTTTGCCATTTTGAGAGCATTGTGATTGCCACTGCCAACTGTATTTGAAAACCTAGCTTAATTACTCTGTCAAAGGAATCACAATTTCAAAAAAATTATTGATAAAAAATATGAAAAGTGTATTTATTCAAGGAAAAAGTTCTTTGACCTTGTGAAGAATGATTGACTTTGAATTCTGAGAGAAGTGCAGGGGCACAGATTGTAGAGAACTGGACAGGAGGAGAGGCAAGCGTCACAAAGGTATAATATTTAAAACGTGGTGAGCCTAGACAGATGGCAGATGAACAGAAGAGACATTTATAATGTTGCAGGAAAAAGGAACAAGATTGAAACTCAGATTTATCAGCAAGCCAGAAAGGTTGTGAGAAAAACAGCACGTTGGAAATAGCTATTTCCAGTTTTCGGTATGATCTCATATAATCTGTGAAAACAAACAAAATGATAAAGAAAGTGGCAGATGTTGTTCAATCGCTTGACTCATGCCAGGCTCTGTTCGCACGCTTTCCATATGTTAACTAGTCATCTTCCTATACCCGGGAGATGTAGGACTCTCTATAGATCAGCTTTACCCATGAAGTATTGTGATGCAAAGAAGGTGAATTTATTTTTGCCTATGCTCTCCTAGTAAGTAAAATAGAGAGGTCTGATTTGAACTCAACTAGTCTGAATGCAGGATCTGTACCTTGTACTTCTGCATTTTATTGCTTCTGTGTTCAAATGACATGCAGTTTCTGGAGTTAAAAATAGCTTGCATTTCTCTTTTGACTCTCCAAGATAGTCAACCATCCCCTGTTAGCAGTCAGTATAACCTCGCAGTGATCTGGAGATCAGCTGAGAGTTCCTTCTGCAATGCTACTCTTATATTCTAAGTGTCTTGTGTTCATTTCCGGGTCAATCCATCAACCTTGTGTAGCAACCATGGGTCCCTGCCAGGATGTGCCAGGAGCACCCTGGAACTGACAAGAAACACCAAGGATCTTGAGTTTCTCTGACCTAAGTTTACGCGGGCTCTTGGGTCGAGATTACATATCTCTCCATCCTGCTTGTAGAAATTGGAGAAACTGAGCAATGAAGTCCCACTCCTTCATCTAGGCCCAGACCAAAGACCAGCTCCACAGGCAGAGACCATGTCTTCAGATGAAGCTCTTCTCTTTTTCAGCAGGATAAACCTGTTCCTATTGTTCCTAGCCTGCTTCTGTTTCTATTCCTATCTCACATCCTGTAAGATTTTTACTAGGCGCTTCATAATTTTTTTATTGACTCGGTGAACTCCTAATGGCAGACAAGTGTTGTGAGCATGCAGCAGCCTTTCATAATTATAGTAACCTCCTTCTGCTGACCATGGTTGCTTGCTTTGTGTTTACCTTGCTTCTGCGGTGGCTGAGTTGCCATGGTCACATTCTCTTAGCTCCTTGGAGAAGAAAGCTCTATCAATCCTGTTAAAACATCATGTTGGGCTTCATTTTATGACAAATGTTTATTGTATTTGTAATTATGTATTAGTGAAAAATGCCTAAACTCCAACTCACACCAATAAATTTTTATGCATGCTTCGTAGTTTCACATTAGATACTATGCAATGCATTTAATTTGTTCTTAATTTAGCTACAAAGATTAGGCAGGTAATTTGATATACAAATTCCCAAAGTCCTATTTGTTCTCTTCCTTTGAGCTTAACAAATGACCTAATTGTATAAAGTAATGAAAAGTGTGTTTGAGAATTTTTCCGAAGGAAGATTCCATTAGAATTAGGAATAAATAAGACTTGCTTTGGCCCTCAGTGCCTATGCCTTCTCTAAAAACATAACCCTTTTGTGTGTGCAGTTAAGGGCATCAGAAACTTCAAAGGGTGACTTATAGGGGACTTTAGTTTTCCACTTTTACTTCTAATTCCTAAGCTTGGACTTTCCTGTGTAAGTTGGAGACCGCATTTTCATCGCATGCAGGCATGTAAGTCAGAGACCGCATTTTCTTCGCATGTATGCAGTCTCTTGATTGTGCGCTGCACAATTGCTCTTGGCATTTAGCCTAGCCATCGAAAGTGACTGGAAAATGAGGAAATGTGGCCACGAGATGATGCCAACGAAAAGTGAGCGCAAATCTTCTGTGCCATCTGACATACAATTTTCCTCTTCTTCAGAAGATGCTTTGTTGCAGTTGGAATTGGATGGAATCTCCTTTGTCTTGTGTAGTTTCTACTCAGCTTAGGTTTACCCTAATTAACCCAGTTGGCCCAGTTATAAAATAAGATTGTCAATGCTAGGCAACAATCAAAGCTATAATTATAGGAAAATAGATAAGTGTAATAGTTCCTCTTTAATGATAATGATAGGAAAATAGGTAAGTGTAATAGTTCCTCTTTAATAAATGCTTCCTTGTCTTTATAATCAAATATATCTATTGATTGACTGAAAATGAGGGACGTAGCTTGAAGTAAATATTTCTAACTTCTAGACACAGCAGAACCCATGGCCCTAAATGTCACCGACTGAGCTTAGGAAATATCAGTTATTAAGTTTAGGAGGAGGATTTACACAAGGATGATACGAGGGAAATTGTATTCATCAAATACTTGAAGTTATATGCCTTATGTAAACAAAATGGCATATTTGCTTTTCTTCAGTAGAAGGCTATATTTATTAGGTGTTGGAAACAAAAATCTGCAAAAATTTTCAGATTTTCAAGTTGGAAAACTGAGCAAACTTCCACTCAGTAAAATAGAGACCTAATGACCACAAAACATTTTGGAAAAGCTGAGCTCCATTTTTTTTCCAGTTTTTATTTTATTTTTTTAAACAAAAGTTTTTTATTTTACATACCAATCCCAGTTTCCTCTCTGTCCCCTCCTGATGCTTCCCTACCTTTCTCCACCCCAATCTCCATCCATTCCTCATAGGGGTGAGGCCTCCCACTAGGGAGTCAACAAAGTCTGTCACATCACTTGAGAAAGGGCAAAGGCCCTCCTTCCTGTATCTAGGCTGAGTAAGGTATTACTTCATAGAGAAAGGGTTCCAAAAAGCCAGTTCATGGACTAGAGATAAACACTGGTTTCATGGCCAGTGGCCCCACAAACTGCCCAAGCCACACAACTGACACCCACATTCTCAGAGGGCCTAGTTCAGTCCTATGCAGGCTCCTCAGCTGTCAGTCTGGAGTCAGTGAGCTCCCACCAGCTCAGGTCAGCTGTCCCTGTGGGTTTCCCCACAAAATGGTCTTGACCCCTTTGCTCATATTATTGTTCCTCCCTTTCTTCAGCTGGACTCCAGGAGCTCGGCCCAGTGCTTAGCTGTGGATCTGCCTCTGCTTCCATCAGTTGCTGGATGAAGGTTTTTCTCTGGTGACAATTAAGATAGTCATTAATCTGTTTACAGGGGAAGGGCAGTTCAGGCACCCTTACTGTTGCTTAGATTCTTAGCTGGAGTTATCCTTGTGGATTCCTGGGAATCTTGCTCTTGCCAGGTTTCTCGCTAATCCCATAATAGCTCCCTCTATCAAGATACTTCTTTTTTTGCTAAACTCCATTTATGTGATGTCCAGCCAATAGGCTGGACAGGTTCAAATGCACCATAATCAATGACAAGTTAAATAACTTTTCTATTTGGTGAATTAATCAGTTGTCTACATCACTCGAAGATGTGGATAGGTTAGTGCAAGAACAGCGTGCAAATGGAACAACCACTTTAGCATTCTCCAGCCATCTTTGTTACTAACTCCCCAGAGTAGGTCCCTGACATTTACTCATAAAAATGGTCCACCATTCTCTGCCTACACAGTGTCATTCCATCTTGCATCTCGAATTCTGCCCCCTTATCTGCTCATGACTTTCTGCCAAATTTCTCACCTGAGTTTAGAATTCTAGATCCAGATGCTTGATAAATCCCTGTAATTGGTTGGTCCGCTGTCATTGTAGTCAATAGAAACTCAAAGCAGAAATAACACTCACCTATCCCAACTGCGCTTTTCCTCTTTTCCTCACTGGGAATAACATAACCCAAGTTCGTCAGTGAGGAATTCTGAGAGCCAGCTCTCATTGCTCCGTTCCGCTCATGCCCAGGCAATCTGTCATTACTCACAGATTTTTACCTCCCATGAGCTAGTTTGGTGACCTCGCTTCTTTTCACACCCTGAGTAGATGTGGTGCTTGTTTGCTCTCACCTACCCTGACGGCTACAGAGGTCTTCTTTCCTAGAAGTTCTCTACAGTCCACACAAATGACGGTGTGCTTTGTTTGTCTCGCGTGATGCCGTTGATTTCTCTCATAGAAGTCCCAGTGGCCAGGCTCCATCACACAGTGCACTCTGGCTTTGAGAGTGGAGCCTTTAGCAGTGGCTCTCACCAAGGTCCTTAGGCTTCTCACCTCACATTTAAGCTGGCTGGAACGGACTTTGACCGTAGTGTGTGCAGGTGGACCTCTGTGCTGGTTTGTTCTCTCTCTCCTGCTTCTTCTTCCATACTTTCCACCTGAGCAATGGATGCAGTTTCGCAAGGCCTCTGGAGTAAAGGCTTCTGTGAATTGCTCAAGGAGGACAGACATCTGAAGGCCAATGTGGTAGCTGAAGAGGCGTTTTCATTTTAAATATTTATTTCCTTAATGAGCACCAAACTTACATATGTTTGCTTTCTCTTTCTTTGTGTGCTTAGAAAAGACAATTTGCTTGTGGCTTTGGAAGACCTTGAGAAGGAGAGCTTGGATCACATGATCTCAGAGGCTGGAGTACCAGGTAGATGCTTGTTTTCATGACATTCGAGGGTGAGCATTTCTAAACAAGAAGAAAAATATCAAAAGCAATGCAAACATTTAGTGTTAATGTGTTAGCCTAAGAATTAATTAATCCCACAAATACCTTAAAACATTGGCTACATCCTGATTATTCTACAATGCATGATATATTAAATTGATTATTTTGTTGTGTGTATCACTAAGACTTAGGTTCTGTGGCCTTTTTGCTGTTGATTGCTAAGTGACAAAAGATGCCTAATTTTCGACAGCTATTACACAGAAATAAAGAAGCACATTTTAAAGGGCTTGTTAAATTCCAACGAGCTTTGAAGTCCTGAATAACAGGAGTCAGAAGGCCAAGCTCAGGCTCAGGCCCTGCTGTGATTGTGTGACTGTGATGCTATCATTTAGCATTTGCTGAGGCCTCATCCTGGCTCATCCTGGCTCATCCTGGCTCATCCTGGGAAGACTTCCGTCCTTTATCCAGCAGCTCCACCGGATCTTTGTTATGGTGATGATCTACAGCTGAACTTGCTGTGTGACTTTCTTAAACTCAGTATACTTTCGCTAATATTTTTTCTTATATTTAAAAATCTGGTGGGCATAAAAATAAAAACTTTCTTATTGGTTAATTGAACATTGTTTTTCTATCTTTTTTAATCACTAATCAACTTGAGCGTTCATGTTATTTGCTTACTTTTGTGGTAGGTTACTGGGTTCATTTCAGGTTTTTTAAAAATTATATATTTTTTTAATTATGTGTATATGTGTGTGTCAAAGTGTGGGTATGTGCACAGAAATACAGCACCTGCGAAGGTCAGAATAGGGTGCCAGATCCCCTAATGTTGAAAATGCTGGTGATTGTGAGTTGCCTGATTTGGGTGCTGGGAGTGAAACTTGGATCCTCTACAAGAGCAGTACTGGATCAAATCACTGAGCCATCTCTCTAGCCTTATTTGAAGTTATTGTTTGTTTGCTTGTTTTATGAACTTTTTTTTTTTAATACATGAGGATAGTTTTTGTTTTGTTTTTGCACTTTAGGCTGTAGCTTCTTTTATGACTTTCTTGGAGGTGTTTGAATGATACATTTTTGTCTTGATAAATTGGTCAATGTAATTTCTACCACTATTTAATTTCATCATTTAGATTTTCTGCTTCTTTGGTAAAGCTGTTTGAATTTTGTTGTTGTTGTATTGAGGTACTGAGGTTTTTGGCTTTGCGTGTCTGTCCTAGGATAGGATGAATGCTCTTCCTCTGAGATAGTTAATGTTGAATTTACATTGCTATGTGTGTTGGTTTTATCACAACTAATAACAATGAAAGACCCCCGAGGGATGTCTTCCTTTCGAGAGAGGCCCCGGACCCACGGATCAGACGAAACCACACTTACGGATGCAAACAGCAAGAGGTTTATTCGAATACACAGGTACCTGGGGCGACAAGGTCTCTCAGAAGACTTGTGCGCCCCCAGGTTGGAGTGAGGGGTTCTTATAGGAGAGCAAAAGCGCGGGTACAGAAGCGAAAAGTGTGGTTACGGGGATTCATTCCATTGGTCAATTCAAATAAGGCTAAGAATGCGCGCTGAGTGGCACATTCTTGACCTTTCACCTAAATACCAAGGAGGGGATTGTCCAGGGGCTTCCTGTTTTTCTTATCTCTTCCTGCTTTCCTAGCTGGAGACCCGATGGCCGGCTGTAAATACCCTGACTCACATCCTGTCACAGGACAAAAGGCCCCCCCCCTTATTTTACAGTAAAGGCTTAACTCTAATGCCTTACATTCCAACATCCAGGGTGGTATTCTTTTTTTTTCCTTTTCAATACCAGCTTTGGCAAAAGGATTTGGTACCTCTGGCTCAGACTACTTGTTTTCTGGAGACTCTTACCCTTCAAGGGGTGATAGCATCAAACTCATTTCCTTCATTGATATGTTGACATCCCTTGGAGCATTGGAGAATGTTATGGTCAAGGGAGTATCTTAAATCCGGATTTAGATTAGACACGTGGCATGCTTGTGTTAGTAATGCATTGTTTTTCTGAGACAAAATACATGGTGGTTGTGATGAAAGCATATAATATGTGAGGCTGTTTCAGAAGGTGTAGACTGTGTGCTGAAGCTGGCTGTCTCTGCCTGCACTGTTACTATTAGAAAGTGGCTCCGAAGAGCTCACGTGACCTCAGCCTCATAGCTGCAGTGACCAGGAGTGGGACTCATGAACTAGCTACTGTGTGGAATATCCTCAGCGGTATAACTGTTAGACTTTTAAGTTGTTGTACTTCTTGTGAAATTGCAAAATTAGCGACCATCTCGCCAAATTTAAAATTCAAGTCTGAGATTTTAGGTGGAGGAAGGATTTTCTATTGCAAGGAATTCAGAGTTGGTGGAGGAACTGCGCCCTGTGTGCACAGGCAGTCACTTTGGGCAGTGAGGATTGGCCATAGGATTGCGAAGGCTCCAGGGAGCACTGTTGGGTGAGAGAACTACATGGGTGGTGGCTTGCTAGGTCATTGATGAGTACAACGCTCCTCCACGTTCTGGAGGAAAAGAGGGAATCAAGGGAGTTCTTTTTCTTATGGGAAAGGCGAAAGGGCAGCTCATGTGAGCGCCAGTTATAGAAAAGGGTTTGGCATGCAACACATGACATTAAGTGCTAAGATAGCAGGGGCGCAAAAGACTTGAGTCTGCACTTGAAGTCACTGCTGTGGTTCGGGTGCATGCACTGCCATTCTTCCTGTCCTGCCCTCCACACCACTTCCCTTCCCATGCCCTCTCTTCCCCTCACCTCACCTCTTCCCTCCTTACTCCCCGTAGCTTCTCTCGCCTTCTTTTTCAGAGCCTCATGTATTCCAGGCTTGCGAAAACTCACTGCATTGCCAAGAATGATCTTGAGCTTTTTACCCTCTTGCTTCTGCGTCATCCTCTTGCTTGTGCATCATGAGCTCTGCATTACAGCATGCACGTCCATGCCTCATTTGATCGTGGCTCTTTTCTAAGTCTAATGAACATGAAGATTCTTAATTCATGCTGCTTCCTTCTGTGTTGCCTGGTATCTTACATGCTAAAAGAAGCATAGCCTATTAAATATTCTAGAAGAATCCAGAGGGTGTGGGAGCAGCCCAAGATCTATATCTACACATTGACCCCCCCTCCAAAGATGAATCAGGGTGTCTTAGAATATTCATATGATTTAAAATATTCGTTGATGTGTACTGTGACCAATATAAAATTAGAATACTTGGATCATTTCTCACATGGTTTACAAGCTAAGTGAACAGACTGCACACTGCAGAGAGTAGATAAGCCTTCAATTCAAAAAGTACCTTCTTCTATACAAAGAGAAGACATGCAAATATCGCCCCATCTCATCATGTCGCTTCATGTACATTAAGCAGAATTTTATGTTTGTCTGGGAAGTAGATGGATGCTCATTGCCACATTAATCTCATGGTTTTGTCAGTTGACTTCCCGACACCTGTCTACAATGGCGCGTGTGGATTAAGGCATTCATTCTTGTTCTCGCTCTAATGAAGGAAACACTGATACCCTGTTTCTAGTTATAAAGAATGACAAAGCAGGGCAGAGCCAGTGTATCTATTTTTCTTGGTGACACGGAGTGATTTATAGCAGCATGCCATGCTGAGCATGTGCCCTATCTAACAAGGAGCTGTGCTATTGCTGAAGTGTGCCATGCCAGATCAAATTCCAAGCAAAGTTTTGAAACTTTAAATCAGTTCCATAGGGTGACATTTTGGAGTTCAGTCCTGTTTTACTCCAGTGTGGCTGCAGTGGGACGAAGGGCCGTAAGTCTTGAATGGATTTTTTAAAATTGAAACTTAGCATTTAAAATGTATTTTATGACACTTTCTAGATTTTCCATTTCCTTTCTTATTCTTTTTTTTGTTCTATTTTGCTAACATGTTCTATACGCTTTGATACATTTATTTGCTTGTTTATTTATGATTGCAGTTACGCCTGCAAAGAGCCCATAGAGAAACATTTTAAATATCCAGTCTTCCTTTTAATGACAAATTGGGTAGGGATAATTAAAATATCAGTCAAAATTCTCCAAGAAAGACATGGCAAGGCATAATCTATTGTAGGCACACAGCGTGGAGTACAATAACAGTTCTCAATACTCGTGACCACATCATCAGTCCTTTAAGTAGACATACTATATCCGTCATTGGATTTTAAATGGTGTTGACTTGGATTTTTTTTCTTAATCAATAAAACTAGAAATATGTACTGAAAGAGAAAGCTAGAGTCACGTGTACAGCTTCGGTTGCCATGTGGTGGTTTTTTTTTCCTTCCCTCATAGTGGCCTCACTGCCTTTGTTAGATTGAGGGCTCACCGGACAAATGAATGGTTCGAGCATTATTGCATTACCATATGCTTTTCTGCTTGGCAGTTCTCAACACTTGATGAAGGTAACATAGAAGGTTTCTATTAGGCAAAATGTTTTCTCTAATCTTAGACACCTGTGCTCATCACACAGGAAACAGTCGCTGTGCGACCAAAGCCTGCCTCCGAGAGCCAATGACTGTGGGTGGTACAGCCTTCTCCCACAATAGCGAGATTTGTTTCAGGAGACAATGCAGTTAAGGAGGGAGAAAATGCTAATTGGGTATTGCTGTTTGGATACGTGTAGCTCTTAGAAGATGACCTCCTAATTCTCTGCCTTACATGTGCTCAGGATCCAGTGGAAGGCTGAGAATTTTTCACCCATTGACAGGAATCCATTAATAAAACAACAATCTTTTGTGTGCGGTAATCTTTAATCTTATTTTGTCACACACTCCTCAGGAGCGTCTCCACTCATTTTACAGTCTAATTTATGGCACTGGAACAACTCTGGCCCTGGAAAAGGTCAGTCTGCCAAGGTGTACTTGTCTTTGAAGAAAAGTAATAGAGCATTATTTATGAAGCAAAGAACACACTCTGCGACTTTAATCAATCAGAAGGATGCTTGTATTATTGTATCTTTTGCCACGACATCCCCCTCCCCACCCAGAAGAAACCATAAGCAAAGGATCTGCCAATCTCCCTTTCTCTTTTGTGTTGCAAAAGGCTTGTTACCTTGCATGCCTCTTCTGCTTTTGTGTTCATAGCACTATGGAAAAAAATGTGTCTGATGATGTCTGATACCTGGGAACAATTTGTCGATTATGAACAAGGGGCTGATATCTCCCACAGATCATACGCTGTCTGGACACGTTAACTAGCCCTATCCAGTCAGCTCACCCAGAGAAACCCACCTGACAAAACAGAAGAGGGTATGCAATTAAAAACCTGGGGGATTAAAGAAAGAGTTGAAACGGTTTGAAACTGTCTTCAAGAGCAATCAGCAAAACAAAGGCAATTACCGTGTTTTGTAGAAAAAAATCTCAAAACATAACCGCAGTTGGTCTCCATATGCTTCTGTAAACCACGACAAGCACAAATTAGAACATGCTGTGGGGGAAATGAATTGGTCGTTCACTAGAGAAAACACTTACAGCTTGAATGGATGTCCCCAAGAAGGTTTTACTTTAGGTAAGAAAGGATGTTGGGTGTGAATTGAATAACAATAGTTACAAATGCAATCCTATTA